GTAGATGCCTAGATGCTTAGTTAGATATCTAGTAAACTGTAAAAACAGGGCAAGCATGTAGCAGAACATTATTACAAAAGTTTTAAGAGCCTTGCTTCCTTTCACCACTGTCCCCTCTCCAGACTGCCCAGCATACACCTTCTACAAAGGCTGTACCTAAACACACACACAGGAAAGACAACCTAATCACATACACAAAGAAAACCTGCTGGCAAGTTCCTATGCCCAGGGCTTGCAGAGCCTTGAAGCAGAAGTGGTGGGTGTGAGGATCTGGCTGGCAGGTGGTTATTTCAGTGAAGACTTCCAGTCCTTTTCTCGGAAAATCATGCAATGCTTTTGTCAGGATGTTTTAACATGTGCTGGACCCCTGCTGACCTCAAAATAATTAAAAACTAGGACACAGTGTTAGTACCTCGGGCTATATTTCCTTCCCATTTCTTACCTAGAAGATCCCTGAACGTGCCTGAGCCCCCTCTCTGTTCCTGCCTGCTCCAYGCAGGTGAGAATGTCAAGCAGTGCTTTACTTGGACAACACAAGAAACCACACATAGCTGCAAATTACAGAGCAAAACTTTGTGGCTCCCACACATTCTGATAGAAAACACACCCAGGTCTAAAACCCACTGTGGAACTCGTGATTATCTGGAAATAAAAATGACACAAAGCTACATTTTAGAGTCCTTATTTGGGCGGGATATTTAGGGGCTTCAGATCTGAGTTTTCTCTGAGTCAGAGCAGCAGACTGTGGCCCAGGAGTTGCTGGAGAGAGAAACTGAGCACACAGAGAATTGGAAGATTCCCCTGAGAGTGATTTGGGATTGCTTAATGCATTACATAGTAAATATAACTGAAGATGTTTAGATGGTATCTCTAACAACAGGCATTAGCTGGCTCAGGGGACTCTCAATTGGATACAAGTGCAGATAGAGGTCCATGATGCCAGGGTATTAAAAAATAYGGTGCTTTCAATTGCAGACAAGTTAATGCTTCAATATCATTAATGTGATATCAGTGAGATGAGTGATGATTTGGAAAATCTGCCAATTACCAACTGTTTAATACCATTCTACATCTCATGAAACTACAAACTCCATTTTTGAGTGTGATATCTGTTTTTGGTGTATCCTGTCTTTTTGTAATTGTTGGAATGAAATTCCTAGGAATGATAATAAAAAGTTCTAAAACATTGATTATTCCTAGTTAGGTTGAAATCCCCTGAAATATCACTGAGAGTAAAGAATCCTCCTAGAGGGGAAGTACTTGAACAGCTCAATCGGCCAGAGAATCTAACCATCAGATGAGGCAGATCGAGAGGCATCATCTGATAAGGAATCCAGAAGGGTTCCCACTTGCCAGCAGAAGAGTGGAAGAAAAACAGCCGCAGAGGATGATACAGACAGAAGGAGAAAGTACTAGAGAAAGTACTAGCGTTATGAAGAGGCCTCTTGCCCAGTTCCACAGAATACCAGACATATATAAGGAAAACGAATTCACATAGCTTCTTAATCAACTTTAGCTTAATTCAAGGATTTTTTTTTTTTTTTTTTTTGTGGTAAGTGAAGAAAAAGAAATTACTGCTGTCATACTTTGTGCAATCTTGGTGTCCCAGAAGAAAGAGGAAAACCTGAAGCATTCAAGAACACAGAGGCAACTGGACCACATTCCTAATTCCTCTGTGGACTAACAGCCATAGACCACATACTACACAACATCTTTATCCCAGCACTGAGACACCACTCATCAAACCTCATCTGCTTCCTCATTTTAAGGCTGCAGGTCTCAAGGATTCTTCTCCTCACTGGATCCCACTGAGCCTTCTTTCCTGATCAGATGAACCTGTTTCCTCACAACAGGTTGGTATTAAATAACCCTGAGACAGGTGCTTTGCCTGTATGGATTCAGAGCCATAGAAAGAGACAAATGGGGGGAATGCACAAGCCTCCCTCAAGGACAACARGCTACAAGGGATGTTCAGTGAGTACATATTGCTACCAGGATTTTTAAAGCACAGCAACTACTGAATGGCAGATGTCATCAAGTGAATAGCTGAACCATTGGCTGGCAAAGTACAAAACTGGCTTTGGACAAAAGTAGCTTTTTCTGAAAATGCAGCATTTGTTTTTCATCTCTATTTAACTAGCTCATTTAATGCCAAGACACAAACTGAGAGCTGAAAAACCATGAAAGCTGCTTTTGCCCTCTCCAATCTATAAATAAAAAGATAGATGCTAAAGAACAGCATATGCTAATCTCAGTTTTTGAAGGAGCTGACACCCATGGGGGCAGCAGGAGGAGAAAAACTATTGACTTATTCTTTTGTTAAATAAGGCATTTTGAGTTTTGAATGATAATATTTTAATTTTTTTTTCTTCATGTGTTTATCTCTTTAAGATGGTTTTAACTTCAAAAAATGTAAATGAAGACTCTGAGGCTTTCAATGCAAATTTACTTTCTTCCAAATGCAATCTGACACATACTGCAAGTAAAACAAAAACACAAGCCCCCGGCCCCAACTCCCCCAAAACAGCTGCTGTCTAACCAGACACTCTTTCATAACACATCAAATGAAGAATCTGGACATTGCATTTACAAAATAACATAAAAACACAGAGAAGGAGCCCTCTTCTTACTGAATTTGTGCCATGGCTCTATGAAACATTTGACACCCCAAAATGTTTCAACTGATAAAGGAAAAAGAACATTCCTTTGGGAATAAGAGCATAAATGCAAGAGAAGATTAAAATTGATTTCAGTTAATAAGATTTTCTTCTTTTCAGCTTATATTATTTTGAATTTCAGCCTCTGAAATAAAATCCAGTTCACTTGGAGATGCATTCTGAATCCTTGGGTCAAAAGACCATCCACACAACTGTCACTAGAAGCCACTGAAATATTTGCTGAAAATACCCATGAAAGCTGTTTTTTTCTGCTCAGCTCCGAGTGGATAGGTTTGGTACCGCCAATCTCCATTTAACGCCAAGGAATTGATGTCTCCTTTTCTTGCCTCCTTGCTCACCAGTCCCTATGCCCCCTCCCACATCACTCATAGAAGCTTATATATGAAGTGTTAAACCTGCAGTTTATGGYACTGCAGTGGCTATTGATAAATTCCAAAACTTCGGTGAAAACAAGTAATGAATCTTTACAAGGAAGCAAAATCCTTGACGGTGCTCTCCAGCAAGAGCACAGAAATCTAAGCACAGAGCAGCACTCCGGGTTTTCCTCGGTGGCCTGTGGCTTGGGAGGGATGGCGGGCAGGCCAGTGCGGAGATCTAGTTCACTAGCACAGATGAATGYTTCTCCCTGGGATTAATTAAAGATCTCTCTGATACAGCCTGTCTAAGATATATAGGACAGACCAAGATAATTAATGGGGATCTGCAGAGTCTCCAGATTGTGGAAAATGAAGAGAAAAAAAAAATCTTACTGTGTCACCCAAAGTGTTCCACACTTTGCTCCCAGAAAAGAAAGCAGCACTTTAAAATATTGAAGTACTCTGCAAACATCAGCCCATCTGGAAGGCAGCCCTGTCCAGCAGGGATCACACACAGGCCTAGGCCACCACACACAAGTCTCTTTCTGTCTTGTCACTCTTTGCTGAATGGGTCTGGATCAGTAGCTTCTCATCCCCACCTGTGAACCCCACATGTAACACACCAAAATTGAGAACAAAGGGGTCATCTGAGAATTTTCTTTGATTTCAAGCCTTAAATCTCCTATCATGCTTCATAGAAAATAAGTATTCTCCTGTTTTACGAACGAGAAAAAGCACACGGCCTCTATGACCTTCCCACTTCGCATGTGTATGTATCTTTTTCCATCACTATCCTCACACATTAGCCATCTACCCTAGGAGAAAAACAACAGCAGAAGTGATAGACAGGCTTCCAAACATCTCTTGTGCCGGGGTGGGCAGAGGAGATGCTCAGAAAGACCCTCAACACGGATGCACTTCTGGGCACGTCAAAGCTAGTTAGGATCATCTGCGATGGACAAAGATGATCTGTCACTTGCTTCACTGGGGGACAGCAGTGAAGGTAATTGACTGGGCAACCTTGAGTTAAAAACAGCATAAAGGAACTGTAACACAAACAATGGCTGTGTTAAGGGCACGTTAAGTGCTGTTGAAAACGGGACCATCTGAGCCTCTACAGCATCTTCCCAACAAAGTCCATTTCCAAGGAGCAGCTTTTCCCATTTGCAAACCAGGGCACAAGTTCCTGATAGGTGAATGCCAGGAGCCTTCCCTGGGATCTGTTAAGACGGGCGCGTTTACCGAATGACACCTCTTTGGGAAGAGGCTCCGTACCCCGCTCCCGAGGGCTGCATTTCCACGTGTCTGCGGAAGATGACCTGGGACAGCACCTAAAAACAACGGTTCCTGACAAAGGCAGCCCTCCTCGCACCAACAGCTGGTTTATAGCGAAGGAGGCTGCAGGGGTGCGTGTGGGGGGGGTTCTGGGCAGATCTCGGCACGTTTTGTCGGACCGACGCAGCAGGTACCCAGGTCGACGGCGCCGTGAGTCACCAGGCTGCTATTTTAAGCGCATGTGAGGATGCGGCCGCGAGCAGGGATTTCTGCGCGGTGCAGAGCGTGCGACCTCCGCTGTTCTTGTTAAATAAATAAACAAAGGGGAAGGAGAGAGCGAGGCAGCCGGCCCGCAGGAGGGAGCGCCGGGCTCGCTGCACCGCGGGACGCGCCCCCTGCCCGCGATGC